AGCTCTCTCCCCTCCCCCCTACTCTCCTATCCGTGAAAAATCTTAATCATCACTCACCGCGTTGATGATGAACGCAAATCAGCTGAAGTACCCTCGTCGAGTATATTGCATCACTCTGGAAGAAAAAAAAAAAAAAAAACAAATATAAGAGAGCAATACTTCTCAAATATACTTCTTATCAAAATCAAGATTGTTTTTGAATTAAATACAGAAATGAGCAAAACCTTCAAGGTTTAGGATCGCAATGAAATTTTCCCGGAAAGGAGAGATCCCCTCGTGGCGTTTATGCGCGACTTGCGACGAAATCGGCGGCGAATCGCGGTTTACGATGAGCACGTTTCAATCGCAGAAAAAAAAGCAGCACGTCGGGACATTACGGCGCCCGGCATTCCGCGTCGTAAATAAATTAAATTAAACGCGCATTTGCGTACAAATTATCCCCGTACGGCGATGCTCAAGCACCCAATAAAAATATTTCGCCGCTCGTTAAAACTAACAATGTCGGGGCGAATAAATCGCGATTAATTATCCGGGCCACACACGCGCACACGCGCGACCGAACGTCGGTTCCGGCCGCGAGGAGAGAAAGAGAAAAGAAGACGGAGACAGGGGATCTCTCCTTCCCCTCGCCGCGCCAGGAAGAAGCACAAAAAAAAAGGAGGGGACCGCGACCTCTCGCTGGGAAGAGAAAAAGAAAGGCCAGGCGGGGGGGCCTCTTTCACACAAATGTGGCACGGACACGCTCGTGAAATTCCTCTCCTCGTTTCGGACACGCGCGACACAGCCGGGGGACAACGCGCGCGCGGAATTCGTGCGACCTTGCGCCCATTAGCCGCGAAAAGAAAGCAAAAGCGAGCGCGGCAACATAGACTCCGAAAGCTCTCGCGTTTTCCGTACCTCGAAGATCGAGCGACGAGATCACGCGACCGTTGCGTATCGCGTCTCTACGCGAACTTCGTCGATCGATTTATATACAAAACTTGACATTCGAGTTTAATGCGTACAACACGGTGGTGTAAGTGAGCAATAATGAGATCTCTCGTCACGTGTCAGACGTGATTAATTTAAGGTGACATAAAAGATTTTTTTTTTTTTTTCTATCTCTTTAACGGTCGCGAATAAAAAGTAAACAGGTTTTTTTTCGGACGGACGAATTAGCATTTCCAAGATATACACGACGGCGATTGAAAGAGAGTTAGAGATCGACATTGTATAGTCTTTGTTTCTCGCACGTGACGCATTCCTAAATGATTTATTATGAAAATGATTCGATTCGTATCGTTCTTAATCGCGTTGGATTGATATGCGACGATTATTATATAATAAGAAAGCGATAAAAGCGATGCGACAAGACATAACGCCGACATTTGAGCTGTAATGGTCGCGTATTTAATAGCCGCGCGACAAGAGAGGACGAGAAAGAGAAAGATCGAGAGCCTCTTCTCCCCCTATTCCCCTCCTTCCTCAGGCTGTCTTCTTCGGTTTCTTACTACGACGAGAGCAGGGGCGCACTTCCACGAAGAGAGCTAACGAGACGGTCAGGTAGATACTCGGATCGCTAACAGCCGCGCGGGGAGCAACTCGGCAGGGGAGACAGAGCGGAGACGGTGGATGCCGTCCCCTTCGATAAGTATCTTCGTTATGTTGTACAATAACCGGGCGAGTTGGTCGCAGCTCGATCTTTCATCGCGCGAGAGAGACCGCGCTTCGATCTGCATGTTACCTAATCCTGTTAACGGCCTATGTTCTGAGATGAATGCCTCTCAATACATATTGTATTAAATTCCATAAATATTCTACCCAAACACCTATGTAAATTTGATTCGTAAAAATACCAAAATATCTCAACACACCATTTAGTTCCTAATTGAAAGGTCTCAATGAAAATTCATAATAACACAAATATTTAGTGAATGCGCCTTATCAGATTTTCTCACAGTTTTGACAACATTATTTCGAACTATTTTTTGAGCAGTTGTTTTTAAATGCGAACACAAATGGAAATTTAAAAAATCGGTCCCCAAAATCGATGCATCCAGTAAAAATTATGAAAGTACAGTAAAAATTACATTTATATATAAAAAGAGTAAAAAAATAGATATAAATTAAATTTAAATATTTATAAACATGTAAAATAACATAAATTATCAAAAAGGCTATAATGCTATGACTGTCTAAATTATATTATATGTAATTCGCCAGAAGAAATCAAACAAGCGCGCGAAATAAATTTTTAACTTAAAAACTTTCGATATTATATATATATATATAACACAAGCATAAAATAATGATAAATAAATATTTGAAATCGGAGCAATTTTATCAAATTCATCAGCCTAATGGAAAGAATGCTGAAGCTTGCTGGTGAAATCTTAACTCATCTCATGACAGTCAATTTACTTTGTCGTAGATTTTCTAGATATGAGACAGTACACTTATTGGGATACCTCATCGATCATCAACCAAATCGTCGGATCAATGAACTCCTAGAAGGTTCAGACATTGCCGCGGCGAGGAACCACTTGACCTTGCATGGTCAGACATCTCTCTGCTGCAATCTCTCAATCATTAAACAGTTTATTTGCACATCTCATCGCTCAAGGACCGAACACAAAGATCTGCCCGCAAGATTTTTCAAAGACTCGTGCCGATTAGGTATATGAAATATCTCGGAAATCTCTGATAATTCATGAAACATTGAGTCCACCGACATATCAAAGTTTAAATGATATAGTTTTATTAATAATAATAAATTTCAACTCGCGACAGAACACGAGAGAGAGAGAGAGAGAGATATTTTGTATCTCACTTTCAATAGTAAGATTTTATATTTAACATATCAAGACATATATATATATGTATTCTGGAGAGTTCGGTTAATTTTAATCTTAACTTACTAAAATTAGAAACAAAGAGATAATAAAGTATCCGCAGTTGAAGCTTACTATTATCGATAAAACTAGTTTACTATCATCGATAAAAGGACTATCACTTAGACTTTGATATGTCAATAGACTTAATGCTTCATGAATCATCAGAAACTTCTGAGATTATTCCTCAGATTTATATATATATAAATTCATTAAATTTAGATATTTGGGGATTTAAAAAAATTTAATGAATTTACAATTAGATATCACTAATTATTGTCTGGAGACAATTTTATAAGATACAAATTTCAATCTTAAAGAGGAAAATCTCTTTGGCTTTTAACACAAAATTTAAAACATCGAAAAATATATTACATTTGTAAAATCTACATTTATAACTCGTTTAATTAGTTTCACTAACACACCAGCTTATTTTAAAAAAAAAAAAAAAAAAAAAAAAAAAAACAAGAGATTCAAAATATATATTGCATCTCTCTTACTGTCACCGTCACTTATCCTTACGATACGATGTCAAGAGCTGAAAGTGTAGAAAGCCAAGTCGCTAGTTTTTACCTAATCACGATGAAGCGAGTTCGAAGGTGGGATGAACTATCTTGTCCATGTTTCTCGTGAAAGTGGCTATATGCGTTCAGTTCGGGGAACGAAGCAACACTCGTGCTCCTCTCCCTTGCGATGCGCTACCGTCAAACACGCACACGCATACACGCGTGTCGGCGCGATAGGCCTCTGGTATTTATCAGTGATTCCGTTCAATACGCACGTGTGTGTGGTATGTTCCTCCACGACACACACACACACATATATGCATATTCTTTCCATCTTCCTCTTTCCTCGCGAAAAGTGGAAGATAAAGCTTTTCTCTTTCCCACCCGGTATATACCGCGGATGTCCCTTACAACCCCTCCCCTTCCTACTCCTGCTCCTGTTCCTTCTCCTGTTCATTTAACTCGACCCAGCTACCCTTTCCGTCTCGCTCTCTTCGAAGCGCAGCTCTCTTGCGGCTCTCAGGAACAGGCGAAAGAGTTTACCGAGCTCCTTCTGGGTAACCCACTAACAATCTCCGTTGTCCTCCGACTCACGCAAGGATCGTGAAAGCTCACTGTACATACATACTTCTTCGGATATGTCGGCATCGCAAAACGAGTTCGGCCACGAGTTGCATCGGCGCGCGTGCGGCTCGCACGTGGCATTCCGATCGCGTCTCAAGATACTTCGATCTAAACTTGGCGATACATATGTATATCTTATAAGAGACGCACATTAGTTTTCCGCTGCTTACGCTCGCAATTTCTAGCTTATTATTGCAGTGTTTTTGAATCGCACGTTGCGATTAATACGAATTATATTTTCATAATTTTATATTGTGTCTTATTATTATCTATTTCATAAATTGAAAATTCGTTCTTGGAAAATAATCTCAGGAAGAATATAAAAGAATAGATTTAATTATTAATTAAATTATATCATGATGTCAATCATTTATAAAAAGAGTGATTTCAATCTTTATTAATAAATTATTTAAATGTATATAATTCATTTTATTAAACATTTATCTTTAAAAAATTATTCAACCTTTTTATGCAAACATCCGTCACATTTCTTATTGTATATTAATTCTAAAATATAATGGAAATTTTTCTCAAAAATTAAGATAATTAAAATTACATAAAAAATTCTCGTAGAAATTTTGCGGAACCTTGTTCTTCTGCGCTCTACCTCACGGAGATATCGATTGAAAGGAAAAATACGCATCTCTCTATCACAGCATTCAACATTTATATATTTTTCCTCTCCGGCATGATGCCACCTGCATGAACCGTCGACTCTCGCGCGTCGCACGTGCATACGCGCTCTTCTCCCGTTCTCTCTTGTCTTGTCTCGTCTCGGTGCGCGCGTTGCCTCCTCCGCCTCTCTCAAGGAGGAAAACCACTACTACTTACTACTCGCGACGTCCTCCTTCTCCTCCGCCGCAACCACTGCCACCACCACTACTACTACTACCATCACCACTTTCCGTCTTTCCTACCCCTTCCCTCATTCTCTCGGCGACCGCGCGCGATCTTCGTTACTCGCGCACGGTGGTGGAAATCGCAACGGAACTTCAGTGCAGCTGCGGCGAGCAGCTGACGCGGAATCATTCAGATCCGCAGTAGAGCTCGCGCCGCGTACGCAATACTGCACGACACGAGGAGACGAGACGAGACACGACACGCAGTGCCATCGACGGATACACGCGCCTCGTTGTCAGTGCTGGACCAGAGCTCCGCCGAGATTCGCTCGCGCGTGCCGCAAATAAACTCGCGTCGCGAGTGCGCGCGCGAGAGGAACTCTTCTGCTACCGGCTGTGGCTGCATCTCATCGTCAATCAGTGCGGTGTGTCGTATCGTTATCGTCGTCACGCGGATTCGCGGCGAGGTGCATCGCTGGCTGCTCCGCGGCCACGACGACGGGTCGCGAGCCGAGGCGGCTGCTGAGAAAGGGAGCCTGTAAAAGGCCGACGAGGGAATACTCGCAGGTGAGTGCTAAAGATTTGTTTGCTGTGGGGTATCCACGTCTCGCGAGGAGACGAGATCCTCGAGAATATCTCGAGGCACGATATAGATTGACGAATCGTCGAAGAGAAACTGTGATTGTATTCTAAGAAAAATCCCGTAAAAAATAACAGAAAGATATATTTAGCTAAAGATCTAAGAAAAAAGATTATGGAATACAGAGAAAAGGGGGAATTATAATTATAGAGATAAAAAGAAGTTTATAAAAAAATCTATATAATATTAGTAATCAATAGTTATATCATTCTATTGACAATATTATTTAATATATTAAAAAATTACGTGTCGTAAAATATATCGCAATTATCCTGATTGATTCTATATTTTATAATATAGAAATTTTTTTTGTCTATTAACATTTAATAAAAAATTAAAGAGTTAACATTTAAAATTGTTAAGAATATAATCTGAATGTTCGAAGAAATTTTCCTCCATAAATCAATCGCGTAATACATGAAGGATCTGCCGCGGAGTTCAACGCGACATATAGGGATAATTAAAGTATCGGGATGAGAGATTATAATATATGGGCGAAGGAAGAGAGAGAGAGAGAGAGGAAATGACGAGACCGAGAATGCGGATTACGACGCGTGATGGATGGATCGGCCTAGCGAGCGGATTTTTACCACGTGATATCACCGAGAGCCGCATAATATAACATATTCGTCTAGCGAGAGTGCCGGATCTTGCCAGTAGACACGTGCCGAAGGCGACATGATTCCCATTCGGTGATAATGATTCTGCTTCGTGAAGTTTCGATTCGTTTGTTTGACTCATTGAACGCAAATCTGCATACATAAGATGCGTATTTTTATTAGACACTTATCGTTAAATATATTGTTATTTTTTAAATAATACAGGAATTCTGAATTTTCTATTTCTCGAGGATAGCATTTGATATACACGGAAAATAAGAAATAAAGCGCGGATTTAGATATTTCGTGATAAACGTCTTGAAAATGTCAAATCTGTGAGTCACGTTTAGCAAAATGTGGGTTGAAAGTATCAGTCACAATTTTTATTTACGTCCAGCGCGTTCCATCTCGATGAGGTTTAGATCTAAACAAAATAACGTTTAACGTCATCGGAGACTATAAGCGAGCACGATGGAGAAATCCGTGGGATTATCAGCGTCAGCTGTTCATCACCTGAAGAAACGCCCCCGTGGGTGCGAGTGGAAAGAAAAACACGTAGATTTGTCGGTTACAAAATTAAATTCGGCGATTCGCGACATTGCGATCTATATCGGTATAATCGATTTTCGTGACGCGTTGAATCGCTTTGTGGGCGGTTCGGAATATTTTTTTTTTTTTTTTTTTTTTTTTTTTTATTCTCGATATCTAGAAAGAAATTTACGAATGTGTATAATTTGTGGATTTAAGAAATATTCTAGTATATATAGGATATCTGTGATAATTTTTTGCAGGCAAATATAAAAATGGAGAACCATTTTAAGTTTTCTATATAAAGACAAAGCTAATAATGAGATGAAAAAACTTGATCGAATGCAATTAACCGATTCATCCGATTGAATCTATAAGGCGCGTAAGAAATTATTAGTTTAATCGTTTATTCGATCAATGGGAACGGACCGATTAATCGATCAAGGCATAAACCACCGAGTCTCAATCGATTAATCAAGCAAAATCGATAAACGGATAACAATTTAATCGATAAATCTCGCGCGACCACTTTTGATCGCTTATGTCGAACAATGCAAACTACATAATGAAATATTATAATTTCGAAACTAATATTATTTGATATGAATAATCATATATTAAAATAGCCAGAGTTTGAAGAAAATTAATTCTTATAATAGTATTGTTCAGGTATAATATTTCGCTCATTAAAAAATAGAATGATAAGATAAACAGACGTAATTTTTTTCAGGAATATATCAATAGGAAAAAGTCAAATTATATTTTCCGCGTTTGCAGATAGAACAATTAAAACCTTACAAAATTGAATTAAAGATTTTTCAATCTTTCATAAACCTAACTCTATCAATAATCGATTAATGCTAATCATGATCAATTAAATTTTTTACCACATCGTCTATATACGATATCATAATAAATGTAACAATCTAGAAAAATATTCAAAGAATTAGTTAAACTACGATTAATCGATATTAGAAAAATCGCGTTTCACATTTTATATTTCCTTAATAAATATTTTTCGCGGTATTTCATTTATCAAAGAAACGTTGCGCACATAATAACACACACACACAACACAAATTGGAGATACCATGTGTAACTCCCGATTATTCGATATATACGAGATCACATGGATCGTTGCTGTAATTATCACGAGCGATATTTCTCAGTAATTTAAAATGCAGGCAAATGTCGACAGAGAAAAAGAGAGAGAGAGAGAGAGAGAGAGAGAGAAAAATAGAGAGAGAGAGAGAGAGAGAGAGAGAGAGAGAGAGAGAGAGAGAGAGAGAGAGAGAGAGAGAGAGAGAGAGAGAGAGAGAGAGAGAGAGAGAGAGAGAGAGAGAGAGAGAGAGAGAGAGAGAGAGAGAGAGAGAGAGAGAGAGAGAGAGAGAGAGAGAGAGAGAGAGAGAGAGAGAGAGAGAGAGAGAGAGAGAGAGAGAGAGAGAGAGAGAGAGAGAGAGAGAGAGAGAGAGAGAGAGAGAGAGAGAGAGAGAGAGAGAGAGAGAGAGAGAGAGAGAGAGAGAGAGAGAGAGAGAGAGAGAGAGAGAGAGAGAGAGAGAGAGAGAGAGAGAGAGAGAGAGAGAGAGAGAGAGAGAGAGAGAGAGAGAGAGAGAGAGAGAGAGAGAGAGAGAGAGAGAGAGAGAGAGAGAGAGAGAGAGAGAGAGAGAGAGAGAGAGAGAGAGAGAGAGAGAGAGAGAGAGAGAGAGAGAGAGAGAGAGAGAGAGAGAGAGAGAGAGAGAGAGAGAGAGAGAGAGAGAGAGAGAGAGAGAGAGAGAGAGAGAGAGAGAGAGAGAGAGAGAGAGAGAGAGAGAGAGAGAGAGAGAGAGAGAGAGAGAGAGAGAGAGAGAGAGAGAGAGAGAGAGAGAGAGAGAGAGAGAGAGAGAGAGAGAGAGAGAGAGAGAGAGAGAGAGAGAGAGAGAGAGAGAGAGAGAGAGAGAGAGAGAGAGAGAGAGAGAGAGAGAGAGAGAGAGAGAGAGAGAGAGAGAGAGAGAGAGAGAGAGAGAGAGAGAGAGAGAGAGAGAGAGAGAGAGAGAGAGAGAGAGAGAGAGAGAGAGAGAGAGAGAGAGAGAGAGAGAGAGAGAGAGAGAGAGAGAGAGAGAGAGAGAGAGAGAGAGAGAGAGAGAGAGAGAGAGAGAGAGAGAGAGAGAGAGAGAGAGAGAGAGAGAGAGAGAGAGAGAGAGAGAGAGAGAGAGAGAGAGAGAGAGAGAGAGAGAGAGAGAGAGAGAGAGAGAGAGAGAGAGAGAGAGAGAGAGAGAGAGAGAGAGAGAGAGAGAGAGAGAGAGAGAGAGAGAGAGAGAGAGAGAGAGAGAGAGAGAGAGAGAGAGAGAGAGAGAGAGAGAGAGAGAGAGAGAGAGAGAGAGAGAGAGAGAGAGAGAGAGAGAGAGAGAGAGAGAGAGAGAGAGAGAGAGAGAGAGAGAGAGAGAGAGAGAGAGAGAGAGAGAGAGAGAGAGAGAGAGAGAGAGAGAGAGAGAGAGAGAGAGAGATAGAAAGAGAAAAAGAAAAGGAGAGAAGCGAGACACACAGAGGAAGAGACAGAGGGTGTAATAATTCTACATATTCTATTCTATTATCACGTTTCTCTACTATAC